AAGATGTACGGCACTCAAGCTAGGGTTAAAGAAGTAATATCTTGAGCTAAGCTCTCAACCCTTCATTTTTTTGTTTTTCTTATTATGAAACATTGGAACAGATACAAACTATAATTACCAAACAAGGTACAAGATATAATGCAAAACGTACAACCACATAATAAATAATTCAGAGTGCTGACGTAATGAAGACTGGGATTCGGCCAGCAGGAACCGAGTTGGTAAAAATACGTGTCCAAAAACGTTAAATGCAAATGGTAAAAATACTGAATACAATCAGGTGAAAATTGCATAAAAAGACAGTACAATACTTTTACGTCTTGGAAGGTTATTCATAAAGATGATTTTTACGTCTTGGAAGGTTTTTCATAAAGATGATTTTGGTTTAGCGTCTCAAATGAGCCCTTTATAGAAACACAAAATATGTTTGGAGTAATTGGCACTTTGCATCCTTGAAATTACGTAGGTTTGGCACTTTGCATCCTTGAATTAGAAAAATAGCACTTTAGACTATTCAATTCCAAATTTTTTGGCACTTTGCACCCTCCTCCACTTTTTGGCTTGAAAAATCACAGGCAACTGATTTAGTGGATTTCAAGAGGGGCGAATTTGTCCCGTTACACGTATATATACATATTTTAAAAAAAAAAATCTTCTAGGGACTCATTTTCAACAATAAAGATCTGCATGAGTCAAAAATTGAAGACTTTGTAACCTTCGTTTGAAGATATATACTAGAGCTGGAAAAAAAAAAACTATTACAAAAGCCAATAATTCATTAAAATTGCAGATTTTGAACTGCAGCTTACAATTCATAAAAATTATGGATTTCCAATTAATTCTTACAACTCAAAAAAGCTAAATAACAAGAAAATAATACTTGAGTTTACAATTCATAAAATTTGCAGATTTCCGATACTTTGCACAGAGTCAGGACAAGCACATTTCAACCAATCAAATTTGAATCCCAAAATTGAAAAATTTAAACTCCTACCACCATTTTGATTTAAAGACTATACATATTTTGCCTTCTCTTTATATGTTTGTATCTCGATCTTTAATTGTTTCACCTTTTCCTTTCACCCAGGGCCGGTCCGGCGTATTTGGGGGCCCGGGGCGTGAATATATTTTGTGCCCTTAACAATATGAGGTTTCGGGCAACGCCTCGACCTTTTTTTTTTTCCTTTTTTTCTTTTTTGATAAAATAATATAGATAAAAATTTATTAATTTAAATTTCATTATCAAATATTACAAAATATGTATGTATATCTAATATTCT